CTCAGTGTCTGTTGCATTCTGCTGGATTTCACTAAAAGGTAATAAGCTGCACTCGCTATGCTTGAGACCAGTAAGTGTGCTATAAGAGCTCTTTCATTCCTGCATGCTCTGATTAGCTCAGCTACATCAGGCTCTTTGACTTCATTTACATTGTACGTACCGTCTTTTTTATACCATTTTCAGAAATATCAGAAAGTTGACTCTGTTCATCTGGATGTAGCATTTTCAGATCAACAGAATCAACTTTCTGGGATTTCCTTGCCTGAATGATTGAGCATTTATCGAGATCCTTTTTTAAAATGTCATTTTTAGCTCATCTGGTTGAAACACTTGTTGAGATGTTCGCGAGGCGGCCCTTCACAGTTGCTACTCTTCCTGCAGTATTGGTAAGATTTTAGTTAGCCTTTCACACAATATATCACCTAATGGACTTGCATCTAAATTAAGGTCAAGAGCGTATCAATTGTTTTATGAATACGTTTCCACTTTCATAAAAATCACTACTTCTCTTAGATTATTGGTCAGATTTTAGTGACATGAGATTAATGCATCTCGGATATGACTGTTTTTGAGGGTCTTTGAGTTTTCAGTGGATTTTAATCCTCATTAGCTTGTGCAATGCAGCCAATCCCCGACAAGGAATCCTATAATTTGCTTTCTGTACTTCTCACATTATAGCAACCTTTGAATAGTGATGGACCATGAGCTGGATGGACTAGTCTTTCCATTCAGGTTTTTTGCTTTAAAGAACTCTGTCTTACTATTTGGTTTGTTCATTCTCTGTTGTATCAGCCACCCTGAACTACTGATAGAAGGCAGGATGAATCCATGCCTTCATGTTGTTTACAGCATGTTGAATGTCACAGTAGAAATTGAGAGTCGTCAGACTAGGAAACATTTCTCCAAGCTTATGTTGTCCCAACGGGAATTTACCCATTCTTAGCTGACAGGAGTGGCACTCGGTGTGGTCTTCAGCTATTTTAGTCCATCTCTTTATCATTAAGTGGTTATTTGAGTTACTGTCGTCCCTAGCTGTCTGACCATTCTCCTCTGACACCAATATTTTCACCCAGAGAAGTGTCGCTCTGTGGATTTTTTCTCTTTCTGAGACCATTCTCTGTAAACTCTAAAGATGTTGGTGTGCGAAAATCCCAGTAGACCAGCAGCTTCTGAAATATTCAGACCAGCTTGTCTGGTCCTAACAACCATCCAACATTCAAAGTCATTTAAATCACCCATCTTCCTCATTCTGATGCTCAGTTTGAACTTCAGGTTGTCAGCATTTCTACATGCCTAAATGCAATGAAATCCTGTAGTTCACTGGTGAGACGCTGAGTAGGCATGCCTAATATAATAGGTAGTGCACAAATCTGTTTATAAGATTGGGGAAAGCTGCAATCAGCTGAGACTGAAGAAGTCACTTGGATAAGTGACAAAACGTTTCTCCCACTGAAAATGCTACGTCCAGATGAACAGAATCTACTTTTGGACATAAATCTGACAGTGATAAAATCTTCTCAAACGACAGAGTGCTGAACAAGTCATTTAAACAAGGTGTGGCCATGTATATAAAATCATCTGACAGATTTTAAAGTAAACGGATTTCCTTGTTATAAAGTAAATGGGAAAGGCAAAGTGTAAGAAACACCTTTCAGCTTTAAGTAAAATGCAGTAAAGTTGACTCATGGGGTGTAGTTAATTCTTGGAAGTTGGATCTGTTGCAGTTAGCCAGGTGTGTGTAGCAGACAGTATTTTTGTTTTTAAAAAACGTGGTGTTGTGCAAATTCGGTTAGCAAGTGCATAAAATCTGAGCGCAGCTGAAAGTGCAACAAAGTTGTGAAACAGGGCAGTGTGACAGTCATCATGTGGGTTTCTATTTAACAATGCTAATGAGAGTGAGTCACAGCATTTCAGAGCTTTCATGTCAGGCTTTCTCAGTAGTTAATAACCATAGTAAAGTTGTCATTGTTATACAAATCACTCACATATCACCCCTCCCTTAGTTTCCCCCTCTGTGATTGCTTCATCTCTCTCTTTTTAAATCATAAGGAACAGTTGGTGTTTCTCCCTCCCTGCTGCCTCCCTCTGTACAGCCTCTCCAGGGAACGCAGGCAAGTTTTACTAGGCCTCTGTTTGCTTTGCTCCAAAGAAGTTAGTATTTTCAAACCTACTTTCTTCCTCCCCTCCCCCACTCTCCTTCAGCGCCCTTACCTGGCTGTGTGTGTCCGTGTGTGTGTGTAGCGCAGACACACCCGACTACCGCATATCAACCAATCACTGATCCAAGAGAGGCGCTCCAAGGAGGTGTGCTTCCTGTACTTCGTGTGAGACAGGAATGGTGCAGGAGTGCGCAGAGAGTTGTGTATTGTGTGATTTGTTTTGCTTTTTTTTTTTTTTTTTTTTCGGGGGGTCCACAGAGGCGATCTCATCGGCGGAACACGGCGGAGTGAAGCCGTGGACGCACTCGGTTCGAGTTTTGCTTGATTTATGAGAGGTCTCCCTGTTCAGCGACTGCGAGGACAAGACTGGGAGAAAAAGGAGGGCAAAGATAAGTGTCAATCTGTTGAGACTTGTTTGGGAATTTGAGCGAAGACGGGAGGTGGGGGAGAGGCAGCAAAGACATTTTAGGCGTAAACATTAACTTCTCACCAGAGGAAAAGCCAGAGGAGATTTAAGCTGAATGTATTTATTCTTTAAAAAAGGAAAACTTTTTCTTGGGTCAATCTGATAATGTGAACGCAAGGAGGGAATTTTCTGTGTTGTGCAATCCCATGTTTTTGAGCTGAGCTGGGGAGGAGGAGGAGGAGGAGACCAGATCTTCACCGGATACAACATTCAGGTGAGTTGTTTATTATTATTATTATTATTATTATTTTAGATGGATTAAAAACACCACGCTGTAAATTGCTTCTGCTTTGAAGACAGATTTAGATCTGGTTAAGCTGCGAGATGTGGTTTGCATGCTACATGCCGTGCCTATGTGTCACTGGGCCTTGCTTTCTCGAAGGCTGCTTTTGGTATGCTGTTCTTTGCAGGTCTCTAATGCATTCTTAAATACTGTAAAAGGGTGTCCCTTTCTTCCACTGACTTGCTTCTTGATTTCCTGTTGTTAAAAAAAGATCTTGTCATTGATTTTTGTTTAAAGTGCAAAACTTGTTAAAAATGCAGACAGAAAACGCACAGATTATTGTCCAAGTTATAACATTTTAGAGGCTGTGGCTCTCCAGATGATTGATATGTCACTAATATTCATTCAAATTTTTATTAAGCTTTATACTTTACTTAATTTGGTCAATATCGTAGTCATTTATCTGACATATTGGTTTGAATCTTAATGCAATGCAATGCAATTTCGAGACTGACACTGACTGCTCTTTTCTAGGTTCTCCAATAACAATGGTACTATGGGGACCAAAAGGCCCAGTTGGACCCTCTTTGACACTTTAACAAAAACAAGCAGGTCTGACCACAAGCTTCAGCCAGGTGGAAAAATCCCCCTGGATTCAAGTCCCAGACCAGCAATGACTGGTTGGTTTAAGCGAGAGCTAGAACGCACGGCAAAGAAAGGTGACACATTTCCCAGAATGAAAAAAGGTCTTACAAGTCCTGATAGAAGATTGTACACTGAGATGGATGAAGAAAGAGGGGAAAGGAGGTGGAATGACAGGCCCCCCAAAAAAGCAGAGACTGATGTCTGGGGCCAAGAAAGAGAGAGGACATTCCAGGTTGAGAAGGAAAGATATGAGGGTAGACGCAGAGAAAAGGATGAGGGGAAACCCACTGGAAGAGGATACATAGAAGATGAGAAGTTACGCCAGAGGGGACGATATCAGGAGTTGTCTGATATTAGGTTTCAAGACGGCAGAAGAGAGGTGGATGAATCTTGGGATAGAAGAATGGTAAGAATGGGTTCCCCGCACAGAAGAAAGGAGAGAGAGAACTATGCAGACAGAAAGGAGAATGAGAATGCAAGAAGAAGAGAGAAAAGGAGAGACATCAGGAGTGAAGGTGATGATGATGAGAGAAGGCCGAGGAGGGAAAGAGGGAGGGACAGAGAGAGGGAGGAGCTGATACTTCAATACAGCAGAAGTGAGGGGGACTACATGGGCAAAATGGCAAATGACAGAGATCGAGAAATGCAGCGATATAGAGACAGAAACAGAGACAAAGAAAGAAGGAAAGAAACTGACAGGCAGGACAAGGAAGGTGGGAGAGACTTAAAGGAAGATAGAAGAGACAGAAGAGAGTACGAGCCTGAGAGAGACAGGAAAAAGAGGGGAAAAGAAGCTGGTACTAGAATAGTTGATGCAACAGGCAGGAGCAGTCGATCACCGAAGGAGTGGGCTCCCGGTCCGCCAGCACGAGCTCACAGCAGTGGAGAGTGGAGCAGTGATCCTGACAATGAGAAGAGACACAGAATATACAGGGACAGGTATGAAGAACGGGAATCAAGGAGAGACAGCAGTTTTGAAAAGAAAAGAGAGAGAGAAACATGGAGGGATCAAGACAGAACTGCTGATAAAAGTCAAAGGCAAATAAGAAATGAGAGACAAGAGAGCGATAAAGGAGAAAAGACTGGCAATATGCCAGAGCAGAGAAGGATGTGGTTAGAGCCACAGAGGGGCAAGAATAGCACAGACAAATTTGTAGACAGCAAGAGGCACGCAGAGCGGAAAGAGCTACGGGGAGAAGGACAGATGAGTATGTACTCCCAGACGGAGAGAGGAAGAGATGGGCGACCAGTAAAAGAGGAACCAGATTGTGAAAGAAGGCAGGGGGGGAGAAGTGAGTACAGGGAAGACGCACAGAGGGAACAGGAGGGAGTCGGTGCAGATCAGGAGAGTGTGGGGGAAATCGGGAGAGGGAAGGAACATATGTCTGACAATGATGCAGGGGTTGAGGAAAGCTGGCAAAGGGAGGAACAAGGAGACAACGTCGTAGACGACAGAGAGGATGAGAATGGGAGCAATAACTGGCCACCCTCTGAGAGTGAAGGAGGAAGTGAGGCAGGGTGGAAGAAAGAGAGAAATGAAATGCCATCCACAGAGGATGGCTTCGTGACCGTGTCAAGTGGAGGAGAGGACAGTGAAGAAGGGTTTAGGGACTGTCAGGAATTCCAGGAAGGTGGAACCCAGGCACCTGCTGGCTTCCAGGGGTTTGTGGGAGATCAGAAGAGGGAGGAAGGACGGACAGTGGGGGAGGTGGAAACAGCTGACGGGGAGGATCAGGGGGAGGAGAAGCAGCCAAAGTACGTCTTCTGTGTGGTTGGGCAAACTCTTCCCCGATCAAAACCCAGCAATATTTTACCATTGCAGGTTGATCAGATTGGAGGAGTGGAAAGAAGCGACACGAATTTAGAAACTCACCATGAGTTGGTTGATGACATCACTCAGCAGCCTCAGAAAGACTTGCTTCAGAGATCATGTAGAAATGATGAGCACCCAATGATAAACAACTGGGACACAGGAAGTGAGCATAAAGTTCAGAGGGAGGAGAGGCTCTCCACAGAAGAAGCAACTGAAAGCAAAATCCACTCCAGAGCGCCTTCAGCGGTTCATAATTTAAAATATAGAAAGGAAATGAGACGTAAAGTGAAACAGTCATATTCTGAAATGGGAAGAAAGGACTCAAAAACTGAGAGACTTCTCCAGGAATGGAGAGAGAAAACTAAAGAGCCAACAGACAAAAAAGAGATGCAAACTCCAATTTCTCAATCAGCGATAGATCAACTGCAGCCCATCTTGGATCAGATAAACACTACAGGAATGAGTCCAGAGGAGGTGGAAGCTATTCGGATCAGACTGAGTGGGACATGGAGCGTGTCTGAGGAGCCCAAGCGGCATTCACAAGCCCCCCACCTTAAATGGGCTAAAAATGTGGTCCGTGAGATCCTGGGACATTCTGAGGAAGAACCAAGCACAGAGGCCCAGGAAGATCAACCAGCTGCCAACCAGACTGAGACCAGCAACGCCAAGCCACAAGAGGAAGTTGCAGAAGAAACAAGGGAGGTACCTGCGATTAAGCTGAGTATGGAAGAAGATGACTTAGAGCCAGAGCTGGAAGAGCTGTTCGATGCGAGAGGTATGGGGCAGAGCCAAGCCCACATGCATGCTGACCAGTTCACGGCTATGCATGTTGTAACGCATACACACACTCATGCTGACACGGCGCTAGAATCAGAAAGGAAGGAAGATTGCAGCATGGACAAAACAACTTTAGAGCCTTCTGGTGAAGTTCAGTTAGGAAAGTCAGACATAAAGGTGACAGTCAGTGAAACTGAAGACGATGAGGTTAATTTGAAAGAAAGCGAAAAAGAAAAACTCAGAGAGAAGGAAGCGGAGATGTATTTAAGTGCGAACAACACCCTTTACAAGCCTAACAGCTGCCCTATTCTTTATCATGACTGCGAGTCTGAGCTCCTGTGCCCCTCTAGTGAGGGTGAGAGCCAGGGGGTGGACTATGGAAGGGATGAAAGTGAAGAAGAAAGACAAGGAAGGGAGCCTGAAGATAGGGTTAATGCAGTGGACGTGATAGTACCAGAACTGACTGAGGTGAATTGCGTAGAGGCAGAAGGGCAAGTAGGGAATCTGGAGAGCTCCTACAGTTCTCAGAAACTGGGTTCCAAAGTGCCGTCTCGAAGAAAGGGAGTCCATAAAACAACTCAAAGAAGAAATGTAGACGTGGAAGAAGATGAAGGTGTTGGAAGGGATCGCAGAACCAGAGTATTTTATGCAACAGGTAAAGAAAGAAGGTTGAGGATGGAAACATTGTGGCTGTCTTCTCAGTTCAGTCCTAATGTTTCCAGGAAAGCTGCATAGTTACCTCACCTCCCTCCTTTTTACTCATTTTTTTTTAAACAAAAAAAACGTCTTTCCTCTTTCAAATCAAATGGCAACGCATGAAATTTTAATCATTTAATCAATGACATTTCAAGATAGACTGACCTCAGAGGAAACTAGATTTAAACGTCTCAGGATTTACTCATGCACCAAATGATGCTTCACGACTGTGTTGGTTTATTTATTTTTTTTAAATGAATTTTACTTAATAGTCATCTTGTCATTTCCACTTACTTGAAGCCTTTACTTTTATTTTTGCTCCTTTTTTTTTTTTTTTTAATAATTTTTTTAAATTTAATTTAATTTATTTTGAATCAGTCACGGGGACCTCAGATCATAGGCAGACTTCAGTGAACATTATCATTACCCCGATCTGAGCACAAAACGCTACCTTCATTGGAAACTACGTCAATGTTGAGTATACAGGTAGTGGGAGGAGATAAGAGTAGGTGGAGATGGACAAACTCCTGCCCCGGGAAAACCCAGAGCAGGAGTTAAAAAGTCACAGTTGAGCCACAAGAAAGACACAAGAAATAAGCTTTGGACACACTAATCTCTTCAGTTATTTATCAAGCTTACTAAATTAACCAGCTTATTTATTTAAATTATTGCCTATTTAAATGCAACTATGTTGCTGTACAATGTGTCAACAAATGGATACTTTTATATTGCAGATGATGAGGATGATCGGAGCAAAAGCTTGAGCGAAATGGGGCTGAGGTGAGAATAACTGTCACATATACTGTGTGTGTGTGCGCGCGTGTGTGTGTGTGCGTGTGTGTGTGTGTGTGTGTGTGTGTGTGTACAGATGCACATATATATGCTCTTTTTTTTTCTTTCTTTTTTTTTCTTTCTTTTTTTTTAAACATTTGATGTACCTGATATTAAGAACAGTCTTGTCTTAACTTGTCTTAACTGTGTTGTTTGAGTTTGGGAGTGCTTAACAAATTTATTAGACAGCTTGTGTTTAAAACTAAAAAGGGTATATTGTTATTTATTAGGGCAAATAACAAATTTGAACTGGCACTCTGCAGTTCTCTGAAAATTCAGAATAGCTATCAATTAATTCATATCAATTAAGTAATCAAGCATATATAATCATTTTTCTGTTAATGAATGTAATTAAATTACTAATTTGGCATCTCAAAGAATAATAATATGCTTTACTGTGCTGTTTTTTTTTTTTTCTGCTTTTGTGTAAAACAGTAAATTTGAACATTGGTGGAAAGCCACAATAATTCGTTTTAGTATTAAAAATATAATTTTGATTAAAAGGTTTGGATATTACAGAAGCATTAAAAAAGGATTTGGGCAAATGCTGTTAGGGCGGCTGTGGTGGTCTAATAAATTTAAGTACTGTACATATTTCAGTGAAAGGTCACTCGTAATGTAAATTAATAAAAGAGAAATGCCTATAATTTACTCATTAATGCAAATAGGTCATGTCACATTTCTTATATTTAATTTCCTTCCTGTCGCTGTAGGAATCTTTTGGGCACAATCGAAAGACAGAAAAGTAATTCAAGGTTCTACAGTGAGTATCTCTGCTCTACCTGTCTTTTTTGCTTCTTTACCTTTTTAAAGTAGCCCATTATATATACTTTACATACAAGCCGAGCACATCAACTCAGTTCTCACGATGATTCATTGGAAGAAGGCAACAATATGTCGGTAACAAAGTGACAGGTTGTACTCTGCTCTAATTACAGTCGGGAAAAGTGTGATGCAACTTGAGTATTTCCCTCGAATGTGTGTGATTCATTGGCTTATAACTATAAAGGCCATAAACTTCGAGTGCTGTATACTAGTGCCTTGTCACGTTTATAAATGATGACTTAAAAGATCTAAAATGGCAGTGGTCCTTTTGCCTAATGATATTATGAAATGGATATTGGGAGAAATGGGGCAGTAATGTGTCTTTGGCTGCACTGTATATACCGGTGTATTTGAAAGTCACAGGCGTGTTTCTGCAAGCATTCATATTTTCTAACATGTTGAGAGGAAACACAGCTGCTTCTACAACTTTGCCTCCACACACCTACTTGTTGGAATGCAAAGACAAATGCAAACAGCTCCTTATGGGTAGTGCTGTTCCTGTCTGGCCTGTTTTCCTTTGCTCCTTTTAATTAAAAAAAAAAATGTCTACCTTATTTTTCTCTCGTGCACTCTTTATTTATTCGTCTCTCTTCCTGCCTCTCACCCAGATGCTGCACAACTCTATCAGCAATACAGTGAGGCAGCCCAGAACTCTGAGATCCTGCGTCAGGCTCGCTCTGAATTCCTCTCTGTGAGTGAGGACCAAACTTCGTCTCCTCTTCCCTCACCTCCTCCTGCCCGCAGAGCTCTTCCTCCCATTCCCCCACAACCACATCCCAAGTCCTTCTCCCACATAGGCTCTTTCCCTATCCAAAGCTTGCATCTCCCTGAATGCCCCAGGGGTGAACGTAGAGCTTCTTCCCCACGTCCGTCAATCTCACAGTCGTCCTCGCTGTGGCGAGATCTGCCGGGGGTCAGGAACAGTGCTGAGCTAGATGAGCTCACAGAGGACCAGAGGCGGCTACAAGAGGTAACTTTGACTTAATCCACATATGAAAGGGTCGGCATTTGATTGCATAAAAATCATCACAAATCATGTATTTTCCTTTAGACTTCACTGGAGCAGGAATATTATGCAAGTAACTTTCCATCAGATGATCAATAGCAGTAATATTATTAGTCATTTTTTCATAGATGGGCTGTCTTAATAGCAGCTGTTTGCATCACAGTTATCTGTGACTTTCCTTACAGACTTCCTCTTAAGCTTCTGAGCTTGATTTAATTGTAAATTTGATATTTATGTGTAAATGTTAAGGATCAGTGTAACAGTCTGTATTTGCATTTCTGGGGAAAAAACTGGCAAAACATTTTTGCGTAGTGGAAATTCAGACTCCTTCAGATACTTAAATGCCGTTTTTAACATTTCTAGACTTACTCATTGTTTCTTTTGAGTTTTTCTTAAGATTGTAGTGATTCGGCTCCTTTTGCTCAATGTTTCATACAAGTGCTCAGATTGCATTTTACGTTGTCAGCTTTTTAAAAACTGTTTATAGGAAGTCACGTGACTTACGTGAATCAGCTTTTCATTATCATTGCATCACACTTATGCCCACTCAAATTGTCTAAATTATTCCTTGTATTATTCCACACTAACCCTCCGGGTTTTCTACGTTTTACTGGCAGATGTGCATCTCTTGCGAGAATATTCAGTTGCATAAACATGTGCATTTTTCCTTGTAAACTCCCAAAGACTTGTTGTGAAATTGTGCTCCTTGGAAATTTCCCAGCCTCTAGCAGACTGACAGCAGTGTGGTTATTAGCTGCAGTTTTTGGGCAGTTGACACATGCTTAACGTTTGCACTTTTGATTTTGGTTTCAAGGTGAGGTTTGAAGTTATTACCTCAGAAGCTTCCTACTGCCGGAGTTTGGAAATTGTCGTTGACCACTTTGTCAAGTCTAAACAGCTGGGGGCGCAGCTGACCACTCAGGACAAGAACTGGCTCTTCTCAAGGCTGGTTGATGTTCGTGCCATTAGCCACAGGTCAGAACTATAACTCTGCTATACATTTGCATTTACTTGAAATAGTTGTCTTTACATTTAGATACAGCTATGAGACTAAAGCCTGTCATTTACTGCTTTTTGTTAGATTTAAGATTAAAGCCGTCTGGATCAAATTCATTATTAAAATATGCATTTACTCAAAAACCTCTTCTTATCAGTTACATGATTGTAGTTACTCATCATAATAAAGGTGTACTAATATATAGTAATAGTTTTGGCATGCATCGATATTCTTGTGCCCATTGTGCTTTGCAGGCACAAAGTTTGAAGTCGTTGGTTTTTAAAAAAAAATGCTGCTTTGTGATTTTTAGTTTTCTGTCAAAACTGGAGGAGCGGATGGAATCAGATGTCATGCACTTCACCGTCTGCGACATCATTTATCGGCAGTGTCCGCTCTTCAGAAAAGCCTATGTGCCCTACCTCACCAACCAGTCCTATCAGGATGCAACTTATCAGAGACTCATGTAAGCCACTGAATCATGCTGTGTTTCCTCTGTTTGGTTCTAAAATCTTGTATCGATTTATTTTATTTTTATTTATTCATTTGTGGTGTGTTGGCTCCATCTTTTGGTCCCATTGAAACGAATTTCAAACTTCATTTGTGGTGTGTTGGCTCTCTCTAGTGGTATGCCTAGAGTGGTACGGCCTGTCTACCCTTTCAGGAACCATTGGAATTCTTTAGATTGCGCGAACTATTCATTAGTTAAGGTAATGGAAAGGGTGTATGCTTGGTGGAAAACTCCATATCCCACAATTCATAGTACGCCTCTGCCGAGTCAAACAATGGCGGCCACTACTTTGTTTTTATATTGCTCTTATTACTGTTTCTAGGTCACCAAATAAACTTTTATTCTGTCATTACGCTGCACAGCTGCCTCTTGTGCTGTCATTCTATCCCTCTCTCGCCTGTTGTAACTTCAATCATGAAACTGATCAATGATCAGCTGATCGGCTTTTCTCTCGTGTTTGTTTATCGCCCACTTTGCGCCAGAAAGAGGAAACCAACGGATATCATGCTAAACAACAGCAGCGCGTTTAAGCTTGATCAGCTTTTGTTAGAATTTATTTCTAGTATCAGCTGATGTTTGCTGGAGCCACAGCTGTAAAAGCTGCTGGTCATTATGTCGGTTTGGATATCCTAGTGAGAGGGGAAACATGAAGATGAAACCAGGAGATGTCCTTACTGAATCATCAGAGCTGAACAGGTGATGGAGAAACAGGTTTACCTTTTAGGTGACATGAATGAGTTGAAGGGAAGTTATGAACTGTTTCTGAGAGACAAATAACACCAGGATCCTTTTCTACAGCTGACAGCTGGTAACTGTGCAGGGGCGGATCTGGCAAAGTTTTTGCTAGGGGGGCCAGATAGGGCATTAAAAAGGAAAGGGGGCACAACGAAATACTTTTCTTTCTTATTCTCATTTAAAATATCTAGCTTTTATTAAATAATTATCTGAATCTTACAACCAAAGTTTGTATAATAATGCAAAAGATTGGCTGTAGACCATAGTCAATCAATTAGAACACTGTAAAAACAACAAAAACCAAAATAGTGAATGCAAAATTGTGATGTACTTGCAGCCTCGTCCTCTTGTCTCTCTGTATGCTGCGCTGTATATAGGAGAGATCAAAATACAGTTTACTTTGATTTGCGCCTTGACCTGAATTTTAAAAATATTTGGGAAAAAGCACTATGCTGCAAAAAATGAAAAATAAATATTTGCAAAATATCTGGATAAATATTTATTTTACGTGTTTGATGTGTGTGGCGGGGTGTGGTCTGCAGTGTCGCTGCAGGGGAGGTGGACCCACCCGAGCAGCATCTGCAATCGCACCTCTCCGGGTTAAAGTCGGACATAAAGTCGACTTTATGTCCGACTTAAATTTTAAGGCACACTTAAAATTTCTTCTGAAATTTTCGCTGTCTAGTTATGGTTAAAATTTCTCTTTTCCTTCCAGGAATGAGAATCCAAGGTTTAAAATGATCGTGGAGAAAATGGAGAAGAGTGCTGTTTGTGAGAGACTTCCTCTTCGCTCCTTCCTTGTGCTTCCCTTCCAAAGGATTACAAGACTTAAGTTGCTGGTCCAGGTGTGTATGAAAGCTCTCTGCAGCAGTTTTAGTTGATGTTTGGTCCTTTTTGCTATTTTGTCACCTGAACACATTCATGCTGTTTCTGTCCAGAATATTGTCAAGAGAACAACACGCGGCACGGCGGAGGCAACGCAGGCCATCAAAGCTCTAAAACAACTGGAGAAGGTACAGCGACACACTTTTTTTTTTTTTTTTTTTTAAATTCACTGAATATTTACAAATAATAGCAAAATCACAGTTACTAGAAATAAGCGGAATATCTCAAGACTACTTGTTGTGAAATCAGTGTTTTATTTGTCGCTCTTCTAGATTATTCAACAAGGTAATGACAGCATCTCTCAAATGAAAAGCATCGAGTCTCTGGTTTCTCTCAGTGCTAAGGTGGACTTTGAGTGCAAGGTGGGTAATTAACGACTGTCCAAATGTGTCCAGTATGCTTCTCAACAATCAAAACTACCAAATCTCTGGAGTTAATTTTTCCCCATTTAAATAGTTTGGCATTAACAGTCATTAACAGTTAATATCTGCTTTATCTTCCTTTTTTTTTCTTTGTGTATTTTTTCTATTGCAGACTCTTCCTTTGATTAGCCAGTCTCGGAGGATGGTTCGAGAAGGTCCTGTCACTCAGCTGATGGATTTCTCTCTTAAGGAGACAGAGAAAAATGCTTATTTGCACCTCTTCAATGACTACTTGCTGCTTTCACTACCAAAGGAGTAAGAACAATCACGTTGTTTTGTGAATGCACAGTAATCCATCACAAGGCATTAAGCATCTCTCTCATTATCATTTGGTTCATCCTGTTACCCTCATATCTACTGTCTTATGTCGTCACCTCTTCAGTAATCAGTATTTCCTTCCGCTGTCTCATTTCTTCTGTGATTTTTTTTTTTCCTTTTTTTTTCTCTTGCTGTTTGCAGAGGGGGAAGATTTACGGTAATTGATCACTGTCCAGTATCAGAGCTGCGTGTTGAGAACTGTCGTGTCAAACTTCACTCCCTACAGAAGAATCTGTTCCGGTTGTATATGGCACAAAAATCGCTGCTCCTCAGGACTGATGCACCGTAAGAGATTGGATAGTAGCAGTAGTGTCTGCAGTGTTTACCGCATAATAAAAATTTGTATAAGATGCATCTTATTTGTATTTTTCCAGGAGTGATAAGCTTCGTTGGATATCCGCCCTCTCCAGGCCCCATACTGAAGTAGATTTTTCTAGTGCACAAGGTAAAGTTTTCACCTTGGGTTAGATGTTGCAATTTGTTTAGTTCATGGTTAAATGTGAGTGAAACCCTTGAATTCCCTTTATAGCAGTCAATAAACCCAACAGTGTGTTAAAGATTCTTCTCCAGTTTACATCATCAATAACAATATGAATTTGTACATGACAGTAAATTAAACATCCGGCTAAAGCAAAGCATTTGATGTTTACCAAAAATAGGAACAGAAATTTTTTTTAAAATCAGATTTTTCTTTCACAGCAGTGCTGAGATTTGGAGAGTCTAGCATTCAAAACAGAGGCCTTTAGATGCAACATTGTAGACAATCTTGTATGGGCAAGTGACCTCAGTCTTAAAGGGAGAAAAGACTCTTGTCTGTTGTCTGTAATGTGACGTTCCTGCACCTAATGCATTTTTTCTGGGTGCTCTGCTTTCCTCCCATAATCCAAAAGCACGATTGTTGGGTTAATTGGTGACTAACTAATGCTAATGTAACTAATGTAACTACCTATTGCCCAATGTCAGCCGATGCATAGTTGGATGGACTACTGCAAAGGAAAACATTAAATTTGGCCCAAGATTTTGATTCATACAACTGTAGCATGATGATTTGTCTAAACACACATCAGTCCATTCAGTACTGGAGACAGCATCCCACAGTCTCCTGCAAATAACCTAAATATGTAAACAGTGGGAAACTTTAAGACAATAGTGTGTTAACTTCCTTTAACTTTTATCCTTTCCATTTTTCCTCTTGCAGATTTCGAACAGATGCAATGTATCCGAGCTTTTTTTGCTCAACAGCCAGATGAGTTGTCCTTAGAAAAAGCTGATGTCATTCTGGTGCACCAGGAAAGCAGTGATAGTAAGATCATCTCATTACTTTCATTGTCATTCCCAACTAGAAATGCCTACAAGTATTTGAAGAAATCACTTATGTTGGATTCTATCCTTTTTTCCAGACTGGGTAGAAGGGACGAAGCTCTCTGATCGGCAACGTGGATGGGTGCCCAAATCCCATCTGGAAACCATAGCCAGCCCCAGAGTCAAGAGTCATAACCTGTCAGATGCTCTCAAACTGACAGCGGCCACAGCCACAGCCTGACCCGAGAGTGGACACTATAAAGGATCAAACTCAGTTATCTGATTCAGGAACTGCTGGATTAAAGATGATGGACATTCAGTGACATTTCTAGAGGACAATGCAGCAGCTCAAAATGCTATAAGATTGCATCTCAGTGTAGCAGTGGCTCTCGTTTGTTTCATGTGTTGAAACAATGTATTCACTTTACTGCATGAAGCAGCAAAGTGAACTGCTGAAGACTGCCAGAAAGGGGGTGTGGGTATTATGGTTTTTATCTGCTATGCACAGTACATTACAAATATTGTGTGTACATCAGTAGATTTGTGTTTTAAAAAAATATTTTCTTATGGAAATGACTTTTTCCCAAGAAATATTATTTTTGGAATCTGTATTATTTTTTGTTGTTGTAATATACGGTTTTTGAAAAATGGGCCCCTGCGTGCAGGAGAGAAATCATGAGATGTATCATAAGAGATCTGCCAGACAATTCCAAGACGTACAACGAGGTTCATAGGTTACATGGGACACATTTCAGTAAACGCAGACTTATGAAATAAAAACATATTTGAACATTGTGTGTGACTTGACAATGAATTGAGGCTGATTTCAAGCTGAACTTTTAAATTTTAAGCTGAACTACATCAGCAGACGGACACAATGCCAGGATTCTGATTTTTAGGTGGGCCACAGTACTTCAGGTTGGGCCTTGTAATTACATAAGTAAATGGTTTTAATACTACATTCATAAATTATTACAAGCAGGCACACCCGGGTTTACAAATTAAGGAAACAATACTCAATCTATCACTCATGTCTTTGTTGTAGACCAATAATTTTCCTGTTGACTTAAACTCTGAGATCCTTATTGCAATAATTCTGTCACATTCAAATGATTATAGCTGATAGACTGGGTGAGCTACATTGAGCAATGTCACAGTGGAGAGAGAGCTCAACATACCACAGATTCATAAATGAATGTCAATAGAAACTGCACGTTCTAAATGTTGTCCTACTTTTAATAGAAAATGTAGTTGCTACATTGAGTGACTTCATCCTTACTCTAACACAAATCCAGTTAACACCTGAATTATGCTTATGTGCTTTACCAGTTACCATACGTTGCAGCCACAAACTGAAAGAATTTTCCTACTGCAAAAAATGTGAAGGCCTGAATAAAAATGCAAGAAAAAAACATATCAGTTAGTCAGAGGTGATGTGTGATCAAAAGCACAGCTGACATTGAATAAAACACAAAGGAAGTGATTCTCTTTTTTTCATAGTTAAAAACTTAATATTCTAACATTTTTCACCATGTTTGTGTAAAGTATAATGTAGTGTTTAGACTCAATGTAAGCCTTTATCAGCTGATTCCAATTTATTATTCCTCTCGAACACAAAACATCAGGGGAAAAAAACAGCTTTTTTGAGGAAAGACACAAACCCAAGTGTGTTTGTGTGACACGTAGAGGTCCACAAATTTGGAGTGAGGGTCAAAGCACTACCAGCAAAGGCTACGAACATGTTAATGTCTTCAAACAAACTTTAATGCAACAGTTGCTGCTTAAATATGTTTGATTTTGAAACAAGTCAACTTTGATGAAGTGGCACTGTCTCACAATTCAACTGCATAGTCATAAAAATCTAAATTCAGTAAACCTTCTCATGACATATAGGTCACTATTACATTTACAACAACACTGAACAGTCAGAGTTCACATTCTCTGACTTGGTCATTTAAAGCTTGTCTCATGTCGTGTTTTGGAGGATGGTGCTGCAGTGTTCTTGTTGGTTCCCAACAATGGGAGAAAACTCAAGCTAATGCTGCTGTTATTTGTGGGTTAAGACTAGTTTATGGTGCTGCACCTAAACAAAGACAATTTTGGGAATGTGGCCGACAGGGAAGCTATTGAGACACCGTTATGTCCACTAAAGATTCAGTCTTCTCTATAGAGAGGTTAAAGCCAACAGCTCAAGCATAAACAAGAGTATAGCCCAATTTCCAGTTGAACCACATATTTTTTTAAACTGCAGACAAGTTTCAACAAAAATCTACTCTATCTAGACTTGCCTGTAAACGTTTGCCCTGCACCAGTGCAGGCATAATGGTGGAGCCTTGAATTACTTCACTTTATGTGCTTAAATTGCTGACCAGTTTTAACATGTTAACTGTTGATGGTGTTTTGGAGACATAGCAAGTGGCTGCACCTCTCTTTCTCTCCACGACAGGAAATTGTAAACTAAAATTAGGACTCCAATAGGAATACTAGGAATCTGAATATTTGTCCTCCGACAACAAATACTACGCAATTGTGTGTGCTGTGCTCCCAGGAATAGACTCCTAGAGTCCCACATTTCCATAAAAACAGCCTTTTTAAAAATATAGAAATATGTTTGTGTTATTACAAGTGACGCAGTAATAGAGGAAATTAAATCGTCTAGATGATGTTGAGTTCACCTGCAGTTTAATTATAAAACTATGAATTTGCAATGAGAAAGTACAGTGAGCAGAGACATGCAGCTGGTCCCCTCTGAGTCCTCATGTCAGCAGCATGTTGTCCATTGTCCTTGATATTGCAGACAGTTGTCTTTTTGTTACGACATGGTGTAAACTCCACAACACTTATTTGTTGGTAGATTTAAAACTTTGGTAAAGAAATTGTGCTTAGAGAAGATCGCTTATTTATTATTTGTCTCCGATCCCAGTTAAACGATGTGTCATTAATTTGTTGATTGTTTTAAGCCAACTTTTATTTTGGCATTTAAACAAACTGATCTCAGCTTATAATTTAAATCACTGTGACAAATGAAATTCATTAAGCCAACTGACCTATGGAGAAAAAAACCCCCAATAAATTAAATTTAAAAAAAATCTAATCTATGTCTAAACCCAACGATACAAAGCACACAGGCACACACAAAACAACAACAAAAACACCGATCCTAAGTCTCTTGTTTTCTCACACTGTATTTCACTTCCTCATCATCTCCTGTTTTCTCCAAAGTCCATTTTCACCTCTTCCAGTACGCTCACAGCTCAGCTTACAGAGTCCCACACCTTCAGCTTCCACTCAGGGTCTCAGGGTACAGACTACAGCATCCCTGGGTGTCTGCAACGTGAGCAAGTAGTCAGTCGGTGGGAATATCGCGCATGCTCTCTGTGGACTATCTATGTAAGCTGGCTCTGAGATCCACTGCTTTTTCTTTTCTTTTTTTAATTTTAATTTTCAAAGTTGCCAAAGGGAATACTAATTACAGTATTTAATATAAATGTAGCGATACATGTACATGTACTGTATCTGTACAGATTTTAAAAAAAGGGCAGGGTGCGACATTAAATTAAAAGCCACATATACAAGGAGGGCGGGAAACACAGGTAAGATATATTTGATCTCATACGTCCAATTCATTGGGGAAAATAAATGCACTATAACTTAATAATACTGTAGATGCATGTTTGCTATTAGACATTTAATATTAGCTTGAAACTATCAATGTCAGCCATCTATAGACTGAATTGGCTGTTAAATATCCATCCAATCACAAGGCTACCAGCTAGCAAGAGCAGGAGTGAAAAGAGAGTGCTTGTTGGACTGTAATACTGATTTATGAATCTAAGTTAGCAAGGTGTGTGTGTGCACATGTGTGTGCAGGGAACCTGATCAGACTTACATTCTCCTTACTGTAAATCATTACAGAAATATCTGAAATATCTCACAAACAACAGGAGGGTTAGTGTTAAAAAAACAAAATCATGCTCATGATATGCATTCACAGGAGTATCAGGAGCACCAACGAAGCTTGCTCCCCCCTTACTAAACAAATAAATAACCAGCTAGCACTAAGTAGACATTTTTCGAGGCAGTATCTCAAAATTTCGACATATCTCTCTAGTAAATAAAGTTTTATGGCTTTTGGATAGTTAAAAAAGCAAAAAACAAAAAAGCTTCCTTATTAATGAGCGCTTTTTATCCGTGCAGTCACGTGCCAAATGGGTGTGCTACAAGTGTAGATCAGAACGCATCCAATGAATTCTGCATTTTTAACCTTCAGTTAGTGTCCTTTAGTGCAAGGCTAAACTTTCCACTGCACATTTTATGGTGACGCACCCACAGAGTAAGGAAATCGGCTACTGATTAGATCTTTGCTATTTCCTGAATTACAAAGCTCAACAAAACTCGACAAATCTAACAATTGTCTGAGCTGATAAAAAATGAAGGAAAGTTGCTTATTGTGAACAGAATAATGACTGTATGTGTCAAGCTGTGATGCTCACTTATTAAAATAGGTCATAAGTGATATACAGCTCACAGAGTGAACAGCAGGCAAACTCAATTATCAATCAAGGAATCAATGGTGTCACAGGGTTAACATCCACCTGTGATTGTTGGCACAGAGGCACAGTGGTACGCCCCTGTCATCCTGTCTCACATTATTGTCTGAAGGTGATGTTGACATGGATTTGGCACAAGCTTTTCATGGAATTTGTTTTTTCCTGGAATGTCTTTAATCTCATAAATTTTATGACGTAATTTGTTGCTGTTAGTGGGAAATGATGAATCTGTGTACAGAAATAACTGGAACACAGGAAGTATGTAAACACAAAAGAGGATCCCCAGTTAAACTGGGCCCTATACTACGAAACAAGTTCAAACTTAAGATATCTTTCCATTCTCTGATTCACTTCACCTAAATTGGGATAAACAGCCACACATTAGCATGCCAAGTCATCCCAGGGTTTCCCCGGTCCATTCATGCACAATGAGTGGTTTTGGCAGCATCTGGTCAATCTAAGAGGCACATGTCACGGGTCATATGACTTCACAGGAAAATGTCTTGGTGGTAGGTAGTAGGTGTCATATTTTAGGATTGTATATTAATGCTTATAGAACAATATAGAAAATTGATGTAAAATTGTTTGCTGCTAAAAGAAGAAAATTAAGAAAAAAAATTGGTAGAGGAATGTATATTTTAAAATTGTGCTGATTCTTATTTCATACACTGTTATCACGATAAACCTTTGCATATTTCATCTTTCCTGTTTTCTGTTATCTGACCTGAACATGTGCATGCTGTTTCGGACCAGAATATTGTCAAGAAAACAACACGCAGCATTGCAGAGGCAACAATTAAAACTAAAACTTCTTGAGAAGGTAAAGAAAGGGTCTCCTTCAGATTTTTCCAAAGGTGTGGCCATATGGGGGCCACTAAAAGGATTGGAGTGGCACGCTAAAAGCGGAATTACAAGTTTTATTATGCTGTTGTCAAATATAGGTTACTTGAAAAATACGACAAAAAAGAGAGAAAGAAAAGCAAATTGTGCCCCCCCCCTCCCCGCGGTCCCCCACTTGGAGGCACCCCTGGGTACA